TTTCCATGCCTAAAGTATCATGCCGGTATAAAAGAACGTCAAGTAGCATGCGTAGCCGAGCAACTAAGATGACGAGCTGAAATCGTGGACATTTCAAGTTCAAACCCCTGCCTTTTTCAGATTTTTTTTTCACACTTTTTCAAATAAGTTATTATGTGTATAAATGTGTAATAATCAATATATCATTATTGATAATTTTTTTGTAATGGAACAAAATAAATATTTTTTAATTCTGCAAGGAATTTAATTATTAATGCAAACGCCCACACACATAATTTAGATATTCAATTTTTTTTAGTTCAAATGTTTCTTGCAATCTGTATACGACAATCAGTCCACTCGCTGTGCCACAGATTGCATCGCATAATACGCTCAGAGTTATAATACGATAGAGATCGCTTTACGCTGTTTTTCTTGAAATAAATAAATTTAACGTGTTGTGTACGCGTGTTTAGTATATTTGTTTCTTTCATATTAATTTTAACTATAATTAGTTTTTTAATTAAGATTATTTAGTGTTAGTGGTTATTTTTAGTGTCCTGTTTTCTTTAATTTCGCATTTTTAATTTTCTTTTTTTTTGGTGTTGGTGCTAATTATTATTTTTATTTTACAATGTCGAGTAAACACCGGTTTTACGATAAATGTGTGTATTTAAATTGCACAAATATTAGGACAAAAGATGGAAAACGTTTATTTCGATTTCCATTACAAACGGGTGCGAGACATGATTTATGGTTACGCAATAGTGGTGAGTTTATAAAATTGATTTACTTATTTATATCAATATATAATAATATTGATATGATATATGAAACAATATATATATATATTCTTTGTTTTTTTAATAAAATATGTCAGATATTATGTATGTTTACGTATGGATTACGTTGAAGTGTTTCTTTGCCGCGTTTTTCTGATCTCGCCGAACGGTTCGCGAATCCTGTGCGAATAAAAAAACGATGCGCGTGTGTGTGTGCGTGCGATTTTGATGATGATCAGTTTAGTTCGTCTTCAAAACGCTTGACGAGAGAAGAGGTCCCGAACTGCTGTAAGTTTATAAAAAAATATTTTTGTATAAACATTAGAACGATTTTATATTATTTTTTTGTCTAGAAAACGTGATATTAAAACCGTTATGAAAAACGATTTGACGACGGTCGTCACCGGCATCGTCGCCATATTTTATTAAAAAAAAACAAAGAATATATATATATATTTGTTTCATATATCATATCAATATATATTATATATTGATATAAATAAGTAAATCAATTTTATAAACTCACCACTATTGCGTAACCATAAATCATGTCTCGCACCCGTTTGTAATGGAAATCGAAATAAACGTTTTCCATCTTTTGTCCTAATATTTGTGCAATTTAAATACACACATTTATCGTAAAACCGGTGTTTACTCGACATTGTAAAATAAAAATAATAATTAGCACCAACACCAAAAAAAAAAAGAAAATTAAAAAATGCGAAATTAAAGAAAACAGGACACTAACAAATAAACAACTAACACTAAAATAATCTTAATTAAAAAACTAATTATAGTTAAAATTAATATGAAAGAAACAAATATACTAAACACGCGTACACAACACGTAAAATTTATTTATTTCAAGGAAAAACAGCGTAAAGCGATCTCTATCGTATTATAACTCTGAGCGTATTATGCGATGCAATCTGTGGCACAGCGAGTGGACTGATTGTCGTATACAGATTGCAAGAAACATTTGAACTAAAAAAAATTGAATATCTAAATTATGTGTGTGGGCGTTTGCATTAATAATTAAATTCCTTGCAGAATTAAAAAATAATTTATTTTGTTCCATTACAAAAAAAATTATCAAATAATGATATATTGATTATTACACATTTATACACATAATAACTTATTTGAAAAAAGTGAAAAAAAAATCTGAAAAAGGTAGGGGTTTGAACTTGAAATGTCCACGATTTCAGCTCGTCATCTTAGTTGCTCGGCTACGCATGCTACTTGACGTTCTTTTATACCGGCATGATACATTAGGCATGGAAACTTTAAATAATGGTACATTATTGCACGTTGACATTGCACTTCATATTAATAGAAGCGGCGATAAATATTAAATATAATATAATATATATTAAAAATTACATTCCAAAATCCAGGTGGTCGAACAATTAATCGTTCTTTTTATTTTAATTAAAATAAGATTTATATATTTCATTACACATATACATATATATATATATTTTAATAATTATATTTTAGTTTTTATACAAATTATATAAATACATATATATATATATATATATATATATATAAATAAAGAGAAAAGATCGCACATATACAGAATGAATACGTGATACTGTGTTAACACGAAAATTATGGGCGTAGCACGGACTCGCACCAAATACAAACTTTATCGACCCTGCCAGAAAATGGGTGTGCAGTTAGTTCCGATATTAAAAACGGGTGCGAGGGGCGCTTCAAGCAGTCCCGTAAAAACGGTAACAGCCAAAACGCCGGCCTGCCGCTCTCATCTTTCTCTCTGATAGTATTGATAACCGAAAATAATTCTTTGCAATTGATTCGGTCGAATTCGTTGTACATGCCAGTGTCACATGACGTCACTTTTGTGTAAAAATTTGTAACTGTAGTTCTATCTAGTACATACGTGTAGCGCTGCGATGATTGCTGAGTGAAAGTTCCTAGACGTTACTAAAGATTACAGGGATATTTCTGCAGGCCTATTCTGTAAGCGGAGTCTACAATGGCAGCAGAAGTACAGAGTGCAAGAGTAAGCAGTAAGCAGTACGAAATGCAATTCGCTCATTTCGTCGGGAGTAACGGAATCCTATTTCGTACTGCTTACTGCTTAGGCCGGCGTCCCATGGAGCGGATTATGCGGAAGCGGAACCAGCGGATCGCCAATCACGGAATCGTTCCGATAGAACTTATCGATGAGCTCCATTGGAACGATTCCGTGATTGGCGATCCGCTGGTTCCGCTTCCGCGTAATCCGCTCCATAGGACGCCGGCCTTACTCTTGGGGTGCATTCGTTTATGCAGTGACTGCCGCAGAATGCCGCAGATGTCGTTCGTTTACTCCACCTGCGCAACCGACTGCAGCGCAGTTTGTTGTTCGTTTAAGCAGAGCTGCTGCCTATCTGCGCAGCCATCTCGGAGGTCCTGCTCAGGATGCTTTGCTCGCAGTACTGCGGACTACTGCGTAAACGAATGTAGTCTTCTCCATTGTTAAGCCAATTGAACTTGGAAACGTTGCCTGAAAATTATTTCAATTATGAGTTATGTTATGAAAGTTCAGAACAAAGAAGGTGGAGAATAACTCCTCCAAATAGGTCCTACAAAACTAAAAGTAATGCAAGGTAAGTAATACAATAAAATTATGAAGTCTGTTAATTTATATTTACGATCCAATTAACTTAAAAATGCATTTTTATCAAGAATATAAATTTAAAGTAATCTGTTTAAAAAAAATGTGCTTTGTATAAAGATGCAATTCTGTTACAGTCATTCCTAGCTATCAAGCTACTTCGTCCCCAGTTAGTTTGGAAAAATCTGAGAAGTCTACATTCAGCAACATTTCAATCCTACCGTCATCACTGTCTGAAAATGTTATGTGCACACGTCATATGTCAGAACCTTCAACCTATTTAAAAATTTTATTATATTTATTCAAATAATAATTCATATTTATTTAAAATTTCTTTACTTACGCACTCCAATTACAATCTGAGCAGTCAATTCACGCAGGTGATCGTTCGATAAATGATGTCACGTGACTCGCAGATAATAGACGCAGTGGATGCGCTAATCGCTGCATAAACGAATGCACCCTTGTACTCTGTACTCCTGCTGTCATTGAGTACGTTTACACGCACCTTTAATCGGGTTTAAGAACATCCATAGTTGTAAAACTGGCCAATCACAGCTATTCCCCTGAAGAATGGAACGGCTGTGATTGGCCAGTCTTACAACTACAGATGTTATTAAAATCGATTAAGGGTGCCGTGTAAACGTATTCAGAGAGAAACATTAATCTGGAACACTGGTTGGGTCTAGAAATCTCTAGGGATTTCTAGATCCTCACAGGTATCCCTATTTTTTGTTGAATTTTATACTGAGCTACTGCTGCTACCTTGGGCGACAAATTTGAAATGTTAATAAAAAGCATGATTATTGTAAGAGACAAGGTCCGTAGATGAACGACGGGAGGGGAAGGAAGGTCTTCGCATGAGCCGCCATTTTGGGACCACAAAGTTACGTGTGTTGTATGTCGGTGTGTGCGACATACAAAGTGTTAGAAAAAAAACTATAGTTGAACAGCGGTCCGGTGGCTGGATTGGCGGCGCCATATTGAGACAAAATGCTAAAACAATGATGCGACGACCTTACTTCCCCTCCCGTCGTTCATCTACGGACCTTGTGTATAAGAAGACAAGAGACCAGAAGACCGAACTCCTTAGAATTTCAGTGGTGGGGGTAAAGCGGGGAGCACACACTCTTGCATAAGCGCATAAGCATATGCATAAGAAATTTGATTGGTTGAATTTTTATGCATACATTTATAAACCAATTAAGATTCTTATGCTTACGCTTATGCGCTTATGCAAAAGTGTGTGCTCTCCGCTTCAGTCAAAATATAGTCTCATTTCATGGGCGCTGTTTACAGTAAAATCGCCGGCCAATTCATGAACTATGGCGTGCTGGACTTCGAAGTTTCATGCAATATAACCAAGAACATAAGCTTGGCACTTAGAACATATATTACTGGAAGGGGAATAAAGGATCGAGCCTGTGTCCAAGTTGGGTGCGAGAGAGAACCACGTTTTTAAGGAAAGAGAAGGGTAGATTGTTACCTCCGTTCGCAATGCGCAAACGCGAATTAGCAAAAGCACCAATTACATTTCCAGTTTCAAATGGCGCGGTGAGCGTGACGTCACCGTGACGTCATCTACGTTTGCGCATTGCGAGCATAGATTAAAAGCAACCTTTCTCTCTCGCACCCAACTTGGACACAGATTTTTACATGGAGAACAATAGCAATTCCCCTTCCAGTAATATATGTTCTAAGGCTTGGCATCTTGGCAGAATGTAAATTTTGATGTCGTAAGTATTAATAAATAATATATAATACTTAGGAATGACGAAGTTCACATAAGAAACCTTTTTTTTTTGATAAAAAAGGTTGACAAGCAAAGTTCAGCACGTCGTAGTTCATGAATTGGCCGACGACCATACCACAGATTAATAGACAGATCGCCAAAAGCCTGTCTAAAGCAGGGTTGTGCCGTAGATTTCAAAATTACGTCTACATCCATTGTTTACGTATTGTTTACGTGATGTTTACATGGACTGTTTTATACTAATGTAAACTATGCAAATTTTATAAATTAGATTAATTTCTCAAATACAATTTCAGTATTTTCAATGTCGATATTACTACATGTAGCAGTGCCAGAAAATAGATTTTCTTGTGTTTTTTACATATTGTTCTACAAAAATAAAAGTACAATTTTTCAGCAGGATATATTTAGAATAAAATAAAGTGTTAACTTAGGTTAAATTATATGAATGTGTTAAGTTAGGTTATAAATATATTGTGTAATATACTTTTTATAATTATTTTAATTATATAATAATATAAAAGACATATGCAGACTAGAATAAGGAAATTAATTCAGAAATATTATAATTACCTGTGAGCTTGTAAACGGCAAAAGGTAGTATTGCTTAATTCACTTTTACAGTATGTACAATAGGCATAATATTTATTTTCCTTTTTCACTGGTATAAAATCTAATTCATTATTAAAACCTTTGTTTATTTTTCGAGGCATTGTTGCACACAATAGTATATTGTGTATCAAGTGCGGAAAGTTGACAATTGGTCACGAGTGCGGGGGATGGACGCACGAGCCGAAGGCGAGTGCGACCACCCCACACGAGTGAACAATTGTCAATCCGCACTTGATACACATACTATTTTGTATTGCAAGTGCAGACAAAGTGGCTGTTTCGGCGCGTTTTCTGTGCGCGAGGCGGCCGATCGCACGCCGCCATCTTGCCGCGGCAAGGTGGGAGAATAGCCGGTTTCAATACATTTCCTACGGCTTGAGCCGTATACAATGACTTTTAACGCGGCTCAGCCGTAGATAATGGCTTTGAAACCGGCTTATTCACTCACCGTGTCGCCGCTAGATGGCAGCGGGGGAAATCGGCCGCTTTCGGCACAGAAAACATGCACCGAAAGTGCCACATTGCCTGCACGTGTAATACAAAATAACATAAATATAGCCTCCTTTAAGTGTAGAGCAAATATGTTATTTCGATATTTTCGATTGGATAAATTATATTTCGTGCGGCTTAATGCTTATTGCATCTATTGTAGATGGCTCTGCACTCAAATTGACATAGATTACATGGCATACATAGTTTACATTCTTTACGCGTAGACGTAAACTATTGTAGTTTACGGATAAATGCTAGTCTACGTAAAAGTAGTCTACGTTAAAGTATTATTTATTTTTTATGTTCATTTGTCAATTGTAATGATCAAAAAATATATTTCTATATAAAAATCAAAATTTATTTATTTTTATTATAAATTTTAAAAGAATTAACAAATAAAATTCTAATTTAATATAAATGTTTTTAAAAATTAACTTTTGATTTAATTTTAGTTATTTTAATTGAGTTAATTTTATTAAGTAATTAACTATAATTTTACTTAAAATAATATTTAGGGTTATTTGAAGGTCAATCTAGTTTTTTTTAAAACAAAACTATTTTAATTTTTACATGTAAATCGATTTCTCGCAATATTTAACATAGAAGGCTATATAAGATGGTTGAAAAATAGTTTACAAGATATTTAATACTTTAATGTTAATGTGACTTTAATGTGACATAATTTTACATAAATCATAAAATACCACATTTATTTTTTGATTAATTCACCTGAATATTTTTATGCACAAATCAATGAGGAATGGTGGTTGAAAGTGTTTAGATGTTGCAAATTACATATTTATCCACCAAATAATTACAGTTATACCGAAAATATTTTACTATAAAACTGCTAAATATATAGATTTATAAAATAATTTCTAAAATATTTAAAAAATATTTGGATATTTGAATGTTAAGATGAGTTGACATCATAGGAATGATGTAGAATATGACCTCACTATCGTTTGCCTCCATAATGGTACATATCTATTAATATTATTCAACAAACTTTTACACACTATTTATTATCATTACATATATTTATAATTGTAATTAATAATTAATAATCGCCTACGTATTTAAATACATCATTAGACAAGAAAATATAAAATAAGTATTACAAGTATAAGACTTTTACACACTATGTTTATATCCTGTAGTTCTTTCAGCAACAAATCCTGTACTTTCACTGTTAAATAAAAACCTATTACAGAAAGAATTCAACTTATGCAAACATGTCCTCCCGATCGGCTCCGACACCTTCACCGTCTTCCAAGCTCGAAAAGTTGAGGAAATGAGCCGGCCTGTGCACCTCGTGATAGAACTCCTTCGGATTCGCCAGCTGAAGCTCGTATTTCATGTTGGGGTCGTGCCTTACACCCATAAAGTTGTAGTTCCACGAGCCCTGGCTTGGCACCATGAAGAAGCCGAGGAACCGATCGGACAGCAGCATCTGTACTTTCTCGTAATGGCTGGGTAGGTAACCCTTGGGGTTATTTCCCTTATCGGTGTTCTGTTTGCCCCACTCGAAGCCGCTCGGGGTCAACTTGTACGCTGTGAGGGAGCAGGAACCGGGTGTGAAGCTGCAGGTGATGACGATGGTTTTCTCGCCATCCCAGATGGAGTTCTCCGCCATGATCCGGGCGTGGGTGGATATGTCCTGAGGCGACAGTTGGGGCAGTTCGTTGGGCTGTGTGTGTATCCAACCCAGCGGTTCCATCTCCTTCAGGTACTGATGATTGGGTAATGTGTTTGGCATATGAACGGTCTGATGAGTGCCCCATTGCGGCGCCATCACGATGCATCTAATTTCTTTCACCTATAATATATAAATTACATACAAAAATATGCCCCTTAAAAATAGAGTTAATTAAATAATCTATCATAGAGAGATAAAATAAAAGTTTAAAAGAAACAATATTAAATATATTGTTTTTTATCTGCACATTAAAAAAAAGTATTTCTACGGTAGCAATTAAAACGGGTATATTTTTGTTTTTGGTGAAAAATTGAATCTATATAAATCTAAAAATCTGAAATCAAAATTTGGAAATTTAAAATAGCAAATCCAATATAGCGGATTTAATATAGCAGTTCTAAGATAACAAATAAAAAATTCATCTAAAAAACTTCATTCGATGTCAACATAATATATACATATGCTCTTTAAAAATAGAGATAATTAAATTATCTATTATCAGAGAGAGATATAGAATAAAAAAGTTTAAAAGAAATAGTATTAAATATATTTTTTAAAATAAGAGCAATCATTTAACCATTTGATTATTAAATATATTGTTTTTATCTGCAAATTAAAGAAAGTACTTCTACTATAGCAATTAAAACGGGTTTATTTTTGTTTTTGATGAAAAATTGAATCTACTAATCTAAAAATTTTAAAAACTTCAAAATTATCAAAATTTCAAAACTTAAAATAACAAATCCAATATGGCGGATCCAATGTAGCAGTTCTAAGGTAATTAGAGAGGGGGGAAGGGGGAGAGAGAGAGGAGGGAGGAAGGGAGAAAGAGAGACTTTTTAATTCTATTGAAAGTATTCTTAATCAAAAAGTATTTTTTCACGAAATCGTCAAAGAAGGGACCCAAGTAGCAAACTGATATCATTAAATGTCAAAATGACAAGTAGCATACTGACGTTATTAGACGTTAAAATAATCTTATTTTGACGTCTAATTACGTCAGTATGCTACTTGTCATTTTGACATTTAATGATGTCAGTTTGCTACTTGGGTCCCTTCTTTGACGATTTCGTGAAAAAATACTTTTTGATTAAGAATACTTTCAATAGAATTAAAAAGTCTCTCTCTTTCTCCCTTCCTCCCCCCTCTCTTTCTCCCTCCCCCTCCCCCCCTCTCTCATTAGACGTTAAAATAATCTTATTTTGACGTCTAATTACGTCATTCAACGTCAAAATGACGTACGCCTGACATCTGAGGGGTAAATAATTCCAATAAACAAAACTACCAAAGTTGCAAACTGACGTCATTAAACATCAAAATGACGTCATTCGACGTAAAAATGACATATGCTTGCTATCTGGGGGAGTAGTAATTCCCAAAAATAAAACTATCCAAATAGCAAACTGATGTCATTAAACATCAAAATGACGTATGCTTGCTATCTGAGGGATTAATAATTTCAATAAACAAAACTATTCAAAATTGTATCGACGTACGTTTCCTATCTGGATATATTGATAATTATTCACCTGAGGATTATCGGGAGGGCTGATACCGTACAGGTAGCCAGCGATCTGCGCTCGTAGATCGGAAATCGTGACAAACTTCTTCAGCACGTTCTTCGGCAGGATGTAGGTGTACCCGGTCTCCTTGATATCATCCGACGAAACGTAAATATGATTGGTCCGTAGATGAAGATTCGTTGCGGAGATGGCTCTTACGCGCCACTCGGTCTTGGAGCTGAAGGTCTGGGTCTCGTAGTTGGACGTGGTCGCAGTGATGATCTCGTCGCCGTGCTTGTTCACCGTCCGCGTAGTGGTGGCGGTCAGTTGGCTCTGCTCCTTGGTCTGCTTCTCGATCTCGGCGATCTGCTGACGCTGCGCCGAGGGCGCGCTGATCTCCATACCCAGAATGATGTCCCGGATCTCGGACTGTGTGAGGGACGCAACGTTCACGTTGTTCTTCTTGCCGTAATCCGCCAGGATGAGGTCCTTCAGCTGCACCTCGACCTTGATCCACTCGTCATCGGTCAGCGAAGGCCAGATGTGATGGGGCTCAGTGATCGTGGTCTTGTCGGGCTTCAGCACGACCTTCGTCCGCTCGGTGTTGACGTGAAGAGCCCTTAGGATCAGGATCAGTCGCGAGAACGCGGTGTAGGACGAGATGGTCTTCAGCCAGTCGTCGTAGAGGTTGAAGAGTACCATCTGCGGTTCGGTCGCCTTTAGGATCAGATCCCCGAACTTCTCGACCTTGAGACACGCCTGGAACGGCAGCTGCAGCTCGGATCCCTTGATGACTATATTGGGAAAGTCCAGCAGATGCACCTCCAGCGGATCTAACATCCCTTTCCTAGTGACGATGATCTGTTTCGGCTGCTCCTCCACCGGTAAGGAACGAATCAACGCGGCGACTTCTTCAGCAGTCTTCCACTTGGCCAACTGACCTAGACGTTTCTGGCCCGCCCAGACGGAGGTATGGATAATCTTCAGGAACAGCTGGCCCGTTCGCGGGTTGAAAATAAAGATCGCCCCGTTAATGGGCTTCGTGGTCAGATTACCCTCGAAGGTCTTGTGGATTGTCACGCGGTAGACGTTCGTGTCGTCCACGAACCAAATGATCTGGTTGGAGAAGAGCTCGCCGTAGTTCTGCGAAGACAGGTAGGGCTCCGTGGGCTCGGACGAGTACAGTTGCAAGGCCTTGCGAATGCGCTCGCGCAAAACGTACAGAGCGGGATTTGCCTTCATGATCTTCGCCATGGCCTGCTGGATGAGCGGCTTGCAGCCGGGGAACCAGTTCCCGTAGGCGCTGTGCAGGTTGTAGGCCAGGTCGATGGCGATCAGGAGGCCGGTAGGCGACGGGTAGATCGACATGTTGTCGGTGGTGTAATCCAGAAACTTGGCGCGAGCGTATCGCTCGATGTCATGGGAGTCGTAGTCGCCCCACCTAAGCTGAACGTCGATCCAGTATTTCTGCGTGGTGGTGTTATCCATTACGTCCTTGGAGTCGGCGAGGAGCGACGGTCGCGAGACGGTCCATTTGTACGCGGAGAAGAGTAGAATGTCCGCGCACGAGGAGTTCATCTTGTAGGATTTCCGCGGATGTATCGTCTCCTTCTGCACGGTCTCGATCTCCAGGGCGTCCAGCTCCTGGTCGAACACTTGGCAAAGGTCCATCACGATGGACTCGTGGACCTTCTGCCACAAGTGGGCGCGGAAGATCTGGATTAGCGAGATCTTCAGGGTCGGGATCTTGCCGTGCATGAAGATCCCGGTCAGGTCAAGTTGCACCTGGAAGCCGACATAGACGTTCGCGCGGTTGATCGTAGGTGACCACCAGAGGGTGAAGCGACGATTCGGAATCTGATTGAGACCGGAGCGCTGCGCGTTCGTCAGCTTCTTGTACTTCATCGACTCCTCGAAGCCGGACGCCTTCTCCCAGAAGAGACCCTCCCAGGTCGGGAAGTAGGTGCCTTTGAAGAGGGTGTGCTCTAGAATACCCTCAACACCGCCGAGCGCCTGGATCATGTCGGTACGGTAGTTGTTCAGATTCCAGAGTTTGCCGTCGTGACGCTGATGAGTCCACCAGAATGGGTTCTGCTTCAGCACCTGGTACTGCTTGAACTCGGTGCGGATGCGCCAGCCCTTGTCGTAGGCCAGAGTGTGCCGGTCCTTCTGGAATAGCGTGTTTATCCTGGGGATACCACGATCCCAGCTATCTTCAAGGTCCTCCAAGGTTAACCTGCGATTCTGCGCGTTGGCCTCCTGCCGCTTCAGGGCGTACTCCGCCCAGACGCGTTGGGAGTCGATGAATTCTGACTCCCAGGGTTGGATGTAGCGGTACAAGTTCGGGATCAGTTGGTCTTCATCGTGACTCATGCCGGACCGAAAATGCGTGATGCCGACGTCGGTCTGCTTCGACCATCTCAGATCCGATTGGGGTATCAACACGTGGCCCATCGACAGCATCCCCAGACCGCCCAGCTCCTTCGGCGTGTAAAAGACCACGGGTGGAAAACGCGACGGCATCTTGGAGTTCAAGCCGATCTTGATACGCGTTTGGATCTTGTTCTCGCACTTCACCAGCAGATCCAGTAGCTCCTGGGTGTTTACCACTGCCTCCCGGAAATACGTCATCAGGCCGATCAGGGCGGTATTCCACTTGTTCACGATCTTGGTGAACGTGGTCGAGCCCGAGGCCATCAGGATCTGCCGGACCCGATTGTGGAAGCGCTGCAGGCTCTCGTCGTCGACCCTGAGGAAACACTGCGCGGTCCTCTCCTTCGTGATCTCATTTTGGAGATTCCAGACCCCGTCCCGGTGGGTGAACTCTTCGTGGGTCGTCCTGCACTTGGGCAGGATCCTGCACTCGAAGCCGCTCATGTTGAACAGCAGGTTCGGATTGTCCTTGCTGTAGACGCTTACAAAGCTGTTCTCCCACTGGATGGTGGTGGTTGAGCGCGGCAGGCGATTCTTGATATCCCAGAACACGGCGCGACCCAGGTTCACGTCGTGCTTCATCAGCCTCATCCGGGCGTCCCGCGGCCAGCACTTCTTGTTATTGTATCCGACAATGTTCTCGTTGTTCGGATCCGGGTGTTCGGTGAGGTAGCGTTGAATCAGGTCTCTCGCCTCATCGGCGGAGAAGCGCAGGAACAGGTGTATCCTATCGACGTAGCGGCAGTAGAGCCGGATGGGATGAGCTGTCTCTGAGGCGACGTCCTGGAAGGTGAGGAAGTCGTTTGGCATCTGCGGCGGACCGGCCATCTCACTGGCGCGCTGAAGACCCAGCACCAGGAGATCCAGGACCAGTCCGTAATATTGAGCAATGAAGGAGGCAAATTGCAGACCCCGGATAATGCCGTAGCTGTTGGTGTGGTTCATATCCTTGTAGTTGATCACCACGTTGTTCTTCGCCGTCATGTAATCGGCGATGTTGTGGTCGACTATCAGGCGCAACAGCCTATTGAGCAACGTGAGATCGATCTTCTCGTACAGCTTCTCGAACTTCGACTCCAGCAGCACGTTGCATTCGCCCTCGCTCACGTCCCACACGTCCTGGAGGTTGTTGATACCCTGGCACCACTTGTAGACGAGAAGGGGCGGCGGCTCCGTGTCGGCTGGCTTTACCCAGGGCGGAAACAGCCGCCTCTTGTCCGCCTCGTACCATAAATACTGATCCAAATAGGCGTCCGTGATCTTCTCCAGCGGCTCCACGTCGTAGACCGGGATTAGGTGACTATAGAGATCCATGAACTCGATGCCGACCTCCTTAAAGGCCCTCTGCGTTAGCAGATGTCGCTTGATTCTGGACAAAGCCTCGTGTGGATTGTCGTAAGCCTGTTCTATGAGACCCAATTCTTCCCGTTGACTTTGATTTAGCCTGGACTTGACACTGTAGGCCTCCTTCAAGCGTTCCAGAGCTAAGATCAACAATTTTGTGTCGTGCTTGTAGGACAACGGCGGGAAGGGTATCGGCGCGAACCTCCGCGACTCCAGCCAGTGTACCGAGGTCGTGAATATAGCTACGGCCTCCTCCGGCGAGATGTACGGCCCGTCCTTTAGGTAATTGTGCTGCCGCTCCTGCTCGGCCTTCAGATAGAGCCGCGTCAGGCGGCCCAAGTTCTTCTTGCACACGGTCTTGTCCACCGTGGCGCCGCGTCGGATCCTCTCCCGGTTGTAATGCGCCGTGTTGGTCCACCAGTCCGCCTTCATCTTCACGTAACGCAGAATCATGTTTTCGATGGGAATCGGTAGCCCCGGCACCTTCCACGGGATGTTCGCTTTCCAGCAGCGCCAGGCCTCGCTCAGATGCTGAAGAATCGTCCGCGCCTTGTTCTGCTTGATCCCCTCGGGCATCATGTCAACTATGTCGTGCATGACCGAGGCACGTAACTCGAGATCGAAGTGAGACTCCACTCGCTGCTTCGTCACCGTCTTCGCCACCCCCTTTGAGTGACGGCCCTCGAACTGTCGTGACAGTAGGTTGCCCAGCCACCTCTCCAGTAGCGGGGTGATGCCCCTCATGAAGAACAACCAGACGCGCCAGCCGGCGCCCAGAACCCGCAACCGGGTCCCTTCCCGACTGGACCGGTGTTGAAGCGATAATAAATCAGATGCTTCAGGTCTTTGCACATCCTGATCTGCCGCATCAGTTTGTACTTATAGCGGTACATGCCAGTCAGCTGGCCGACGTGGGCGAAGATGTATTGCAGCCCGTCCGCCAGTTGGAACGCATCCACGTTGTTCAGTCTGTACTGAACATGAGAGTCGATGATGAGTTTGGTCAGACGGAGGATCTCACGGCAAAGATGAAAGGCGTTGCCGAACCGAGACTTCTTCCTCTCTTTGGTCGTGAGCGTCTTCACGGGTTTCAGGTTGAAGTTGTAGTCCAGGTGAAGGTAATTTAAGTTCTTCCGGTGGATCAGCAGATTCAGCATGTTGTAGCCCTGACGACAGACCTGCAGGCCGGCCTCCACCCAGTCTATCGTCGTCGTTTGGAAGAACTTGGTCGACTTGAAGGAGCGAAACAGGTAGCGCTTCTTCTGCGGCTTAGGCGGTCTGTGCTTAAGAGCGTTCAGGACAAAGTACTTCAGCAATTTCTGATAACTGACTCGGACTTTGACAGGCTGTCCAGGTGGACAGTGCTCTCGGTACCACGACTTGACTAATGGAATGTCGATGGCTCTCCTCGTTCTGCCGGAGCGCGTGTTAAACGGCCTCGGCGCCCACAAAAGGGCTATTCCATTCGCCGTGTTGTCGGTGTAAAGAGGTATCTCCTGAAGGAACGGTTGCACATCGCCAGATAGAATAAAGTCCTCGTCGTCCTCGATTTGTGGCTCCATTGTCTGATGATAATTGTGAATAATATTTAGTATAATCATACTGACTTCTTTAAATTTAATACAATCTGAAGTATCAAACTGACATCATTAAATGTCAAAATAACATCATAATGTCAGTAAATGCTAAAATAACATTATTTTGACATCTATGACTTCATTAAACATCAAAATAACACCATTTTGACATCTACAGCTTCATTAAATGTCAAAGTGATGCCATTTTGACGTCTATAGCTTTATTTAATGTCAAAATGACATCATTTTGACATCTATGACGCCATTAAACGTCAAAATGCCATTAAATAAAAAAATGACGTCATTAAATGTCAAAATGACGTCATAATGACATGTAATGACGCCAGTCGATGTTAAAACAGACATATCCTTGTTATATATTTGAATATTTCAAACAAATTTACCTTTAACGAATTTCTATGAGAAATTGGGTTGATTAATGGATCAAAATAAAATGCAGGCAAATCTGGATCTTCGGTCTTTATGTAAACAACATTTGGTGCATGATACCTATAAAACGTACATGTATAAATTAAAATACATTTTATATAAAATACATCATATATATATATATATATATATATATATATATATATATAAAGATAAAAAAATTGTTGTATGTGATATCAGCAGTTTCTTTTTAAGTCTTTATAAAAGATACGAATAACGATCACACTAAATTTGCTTTGCCACACTGCTAGGAAGATCATTTTATAATGCTAAGCAGATCTTAAAACTTAGTGTGGAAATAAATTTAATAATAAAAAAATTTAATTAGAAAATCGCGCAACTTACCATGAAAGATGAACAAAATGTGGCATGTTATTGTACAAATAAGGGAATGCAATCCTATATTCTGTCCTAATTGGTTGCCTGATGATGATCTTATTTATGTCATTGAATTCATTCCAATCTTCATCAGCAGCATTTGAATCCTTCACCAGTGGTTCGAATTTTGGTCCTCCAGGTATAGCCATGTTTAAGGCTTTTGCAGTAAAAAATGACTTGGGATCAAATAGATAAAAAAAATTTTGATCGACCAAGTCAGTCAACAATTGATTAGCCAAACGGTACAAAGTGGCCATTTGTGGCAATGTTAAGTTCCATCTCCGATATGTGGATCCATTGACGTGTCTGGAATATATATTTTCTCATTTATATTTTATTACATGTATATACAGTGAATAATAATATTTTGAAGAATTCTTTCAGAGTAGCAGTTTGTCCAACTGAATAACTAGTATCAACTTTGACACCCAGCAATTCAAGCTGTCAACTCACATGTCTAGTTGATTTCAGGACCCCTACGCTTTTCATCATTAAGAAATGGATTTTTTATGTATTAATAACAATAAATATTAAAATGATCATTTTTTTATTATTTTTGTAAGTAATTCAACTTTGTATGATTAATTTTGCATATATAGTGTCCCATAAGAAATTGCTGAAACTAATCAGCTGTTATTTTTTAATGCAAGCAATTATTGAGAAAACAAAAATTTTGTTGGAAGAAGGAAAGTCTGCAGTTTTTAATAGATATAAATAATGTTTGTTAAAAGGATCGTCGATAACATTAAAAATGACATGTTAGAAAAAGTTTTTACAAATTTTCATAAAAGAACAGAATTTTGTACAAATTCGAATGGTGCACGCTTCAAAAATAGTTATCATTAATTTACTATATGTAATTATTAGCTCTTTTTTTATTACTTTTTTTAAAATAAAATAAACTGGTATATAAATATTTCATTTATATCCATTAAAAACTGTAGACTTTCCTCTTTTCAACAATTTTTGTTTTCTCAATAACTGCATACATTAAAAAAATGACAGCTGATTAGTTTTAGCAATTTTCTATAGAACATCCTGTATACACATCAACTTACTTTGTCCCAACTAATGGTTTGTGTTCATAGAACCATGACGCGACAGATTCATCTTCTTCTGAGTCAAGTTCGATTTGTATAGCTTCTAAAGGTTCAACATCCAAAACGTTATCCGCATAATCCAAAGGAGGCTCTTCATCATCAAAAGGTGGAAATCTCATTCTTTTAAAATGTCTGCGATCCCTTTTCTCTCGTCTCATCATAATCCACATTGTGCTGGAGGAAAAATGGAACTTTTTTAATATAATTTGTACCAATATGAAGATAAAAGAGTATTATTTTGCCTAGATTACCCCCATTGAGCTATATACACAGGCTCTATAACCCAAGGAATTTCATTGACGAATGTAATGGCGCCAGTAATATGATATAGGACCTTTACATCTCTTATTTGTTCCCACGGCATAGGCATATTTTCCAATAATTTCATCACAGCATGCGGCATATACTTTAAAGCCCTGGAACAGACACACATTTGTAGAAAAATCCCCAATTATGGTTCTTTTTTTGTTTTTACAATTTACCCCAAATAAACACGTTTATCATGTCTGTATTTTCTGCTGCTCATATCACCATGATCTCTAATAATCTTCCTTATATGTTCAGCCGGCATGTCTTCCTTTTGAGCATCCACAAAACCGAACTTCCTCTTCTCTGCGAATCGCTTTGACTGCAACTGCTGCCACTTTTGCGCTGAAACAATTAAGCTCAACAATTAAGAAAAACATTTCGAACAAAAGTTGTTTGGTTTGAAAGGAGACATAAAATAATAGTACCATTAATTTGACCTTGAATAGTCAAAAGGTCACAAAGTTTAAAAGTCACTTTCAATTTCTTTATTATTAACCTCCATTTTTTATTACATATTATTACATATTACATATTCTTGTAGCTTATTTCAAGAGCTTTCTAAAATATTATAAGTTATATTTTCATTAAGTACTTTTCGAATTTACAGATAAAAAAAGTTAAAAAAAAAATTTTTTAAAAGCAACTGTGTTTTCTTTATATCAATTAATTAGTCTTATTATTTCATGCATAAAAGTATTAAGGTAAAAATACCAAAAGTTAAATATTTTACAAGAAATTTTACATTTTATGTTAAAAAATTATTCAAACATTATTAACATTATTAACATTATTCATACTTCAAACTTTATAACTCAAAAAGTGCTTAATAAAAATATACTTTATTATAGTATTTTGGAAAGCTCTTGAGATAAGCTACAAGAATATGCAATAAAAAAAAAGGGTTTATAATCAAGAATATTACGCAAAATTTTACCTTTCTCTTGAAGTTTATCCTCGGACAGGACTTCCGGTTGTTTAGGAATTTGAGGCAGTGGTGGTCCAGCTTGCATAACTTGTATATGGGCATGATGCGCAGCTTGCGCATGAGCCGCAGCCTGAGCATGTGCTTGAGCAGCTGCCAGCTGAGCCTGTTGCTGGGCCATCATTGTGGCCCAGGGGTTTGGACCCAGCAAATATGGTGGGATTGACATAATGTCAAATGTCTTTCAGCTGAAATACAAAGTAATAATGTAGCATAATGATAGTGAATGGTATTAATATAGTTCGTGATGATTCTTCAGATCGCAACAATCCATTGTATTATTTCAGATAAAAAATTTTTTTATATAATTTTAGTAAAATTAATTAATTTTATAATAAATTTAATAATAAATTATAAAATTAATAAAAAATAATTTTATGGTATATCCGATTAATTCTTAAAACTTCAAAAACTCGGTAACACAAATTATTTTGTCTAACGTAAATTTTTAATGTTACTCTGTAATGTTTATGCAGCAAAGCGCAAAAGTAGCGTGTTGCACAATTAGCCGGGGTACTTGAATAATAAAGTTACACGTGACTTTTTCCATTCATCAATTCTTATATGAAAATTACGATGTAATCAATTGCTTACAATTAGCTTCTTAAGAACTTTTCGCACTTTTGTTCATTCACATAATTCTACATAATCTAACTTATTTGTGATTTTACTTTTACACACAAAAATGGCTTCAGGATTGCACAGATAATAAAAGAAAATAGATAGTAAACTTCTATATTTCGCTTTAAAATAGCGTTTTAAACGCCATCTGGAGTTCCGTTGAATATTTTTCTCGCTTGACTGTGATTGGTTAATTTTTTAAAGCTTAAGCCTTGTGCACAATAGGGAAATTATTAGGAATAATTATTAAATAAGATTTAGTATATAAAAAGGCTAACTAATCGAGCATTATTAGATGATAGAAACTAAGTATTTATTCTATATAAGATAATACAGTACAAACGTTTCAACCGCACGCGGTCTTCTTCAGTATAGGAATTAAAAGTAGATGATCATAAGTGATTGTAAGTCGCAATTTTATTGCCAAATTAGTGCATGTCGTGTTAAGTCAAATTACAAAACGTCAGTATATTTCTTACGGATTGATCGCTTTATTGAGATGTTTGGCCGATCTCATAGATTTCATCGTTAGTATGCGAGAAATTATTGTTGTCATAACGCACTGTGAGTAGTGAGATATAATAAATTGATAATGTGTCAAAATATAAAAATTGGTCTTACGTGATCTGTGCGCTTACTTGTAATGTTTGTTGCCCTCCAACTAGACCGTACCAACGTAACATGCCCTCTTATTTCCAAATGTACTCATTTTGTAATTATGTGTGTTATTATATAGTTTAAGTGTGTTTAGGATTTTAACGAACTATTTTTTTGTGTGTTTTTTTATTATTATATGTTTGCTAGTTTTTCCAATATATCAAAATAAGATTCGCTAAGCAACTCGGTATCTCTATTTAGGTTTAACCCATTTTTTGTTCCTTAATGTGTAACATCTCGGAAATGAGTCTTTTATAATTAGTTTCACTGTCTAAAATTTTAACGTTGTCCCAATCAAAAGAATGATATGTTCATTTAATATATGATCAGAGATTACCGAATATCTTGTCGAATCTAACTTTATGTTGTTAACGTGTTCTTTCATTCTAGTCTGCAATTGTCTCTTTGTTTGGCTCACATAAGAAGCGTTGCAATCTTTACAATTGATTTTATAGACTACATTTGACGTACATGGGTGTTTATTTTTATCTTTTTGCGTTTTAATAATTTTATCGAGTTTATTGATACATCTGTATCCTGTTATGAGTTCCGTATTTTTTACCGAAGAGACAATCATTTCTGAAATTTTATTGATATATGGGATAACAAAGAATTTTTTTGGCACTGATTCTTCTTTTGAGTTGCCTATTTGTCTTTTACTGTGTCTATTTAAGATACTTTTTTTGGAAATAAGATGCCCTATCTGATGGTTGATTTTATTAAAAATGAGATCCAGGGGGTAACCATTGCTTTTTAATATGTCAATAATTAATATCAAGTTTTTATTAAAAAATTGTGGATGTGATAATAGTAGACATTTATTAACTAAGTTATAAATTATGCCGATCTTATATATGGCAAAGTGCATGGTGTGAAAAGAAAAATAAGGTTCTTCCTGAAAAAGTATCTTTTTGATACCAATCTATATGTATCATGTTGTTTGTTATTATAATAGACAAATCTAAAAAGCTTAAGCAGCGGCCAACCTCCTGTTCTACAGTGAATTTTAATCTGTCGTGGTATTTATTAAAACTATCAACAATCCGAGTCATGTTCTCATTAGAAATCGTTAACAAAATGTCATCGACGTATCGGAAATATAATGCATTTCGTGTTTAACGAATTCAAAACTGTGTCTTCTAAATCCTGCATCACCATGTCAGCAATAATCGGAGACAATAGAGAGCCCATGGGAGTCCCATAAGTTTGTTTATAAATCTTATCTTTGAAGGTAAAATAGGTGGATGTTAAAATAAAATTAATCCTTTCTATGGATTCTTTTTTAGGTATTTTTGTGATCTTTGTGATGTGTTCCCATCTATCATTAATACCATTAAGGGTCGACAGGTCGGTCAGCCAAACTCCGAATTGATGTTGGAGACCTCGCGCGGTGACAACGCGAAACTCCGATTTCAGTGTTGCCAACGCCGAGAAACCAATTCTCAGGTTTTATGTAGTGGTGCATGTCTGTACACGTACATACACCATTGCATTGCTCACGCGAACGCACCGTAGAGAGACAAGGACCGATAATCACGTGTTCTCCTTGTTCCTCTACCGTGCCGGTATACGCGAGATGCCGCCTGAAAATGGCCTTCCGTAGCAGAAGGCAGTAGCGTAGCAAGGCTAATAAGTACCTACTTTTTGTAAATTTTATATATGCTTATGCACATATGTGCGTATATATATATATATATATATATATATATATATATATATACATATATATGTATATATATTATATAAGGAATATGTTGATTATTCTTGATTTCTTTTTGATTATTGATGCTATTGTATAATTTGCTCCAAATACTTATAACGTGAAAGAACGTTGAGTAATGTATAATCAATGCAAGGATGTTCAGTATATATCATCCAGTAAATTAGAGTTCAAATATATCAATATTAATTTTTTTATAATATATATATATATATATATATATAATATATATATTGGAATATAGAAAATTGATAAAAGATATATTTCGGCGATTTAAAAATTTTTTAATATATTGAAAATATTTTTACTACATACACTATATATAAGTGTAAAATAATTCAGAAAATAAATTTAATAAAAATCTACATACCAGCTGTGTGCATGTGTGCAATTGATTTATTACTTGAAATTTATTTACGAAATTATTTTGCATTTATATATTTATAGTGTGTGTAGTTGTAAAATAATTAAAATATTTTCAATATCAAATTTTTAAGTTTATCGCCTATATAAAAATATATTTCTATGATTTTCTATATTTCAATATATTATAAAAAAATTGATATTAATATATTTGAACTCAAGTTTTTTACGTGATTAAATATTCTTGCATTGAGCCATCATACGTTACTCGTAAGTTTTTTCACGTCATAAGTACTTATGTAGCAGAGAGAAAGAAATGAGAGTTATACGCAATGTAACATCAATAATCGGAAAAAATCAAGATAACGGTTGTCATATCTGTGTATATATATATATATATATATATATATATATATATATATAAACTTATATATTATATATATATATATAATATTTCATTTATTTATAAAATACATTTTCAATTCATATTAAACCTGAGTGATATTTTCTATATGCTTATGCTATCCTCCGATCTATCCCTAACAAATTAAGAGGTGTAATTGCATTATTATCATCAATTATTATCTTATACTTTTTACCTCTAATTTCTATAAAATTTAATTCATTATCATTTTATCCTTTAAATCAATATTTATTTTGAATTTTCATTAATATTTTTATTCTATTAACATGAGCAGGAGCTCAACCTATTGAAATACCTTTTATCATTATTAGACAAATTTTATCATTATGTTACTTTCTTTATTTTATCTTATTACCTTTCCTAATAAAAATTTGAGATTTAATTATTTTTAAATAAATATTAAAAAATTTATCATTATAAATAAATTTAAAATATTAAAAATAATTATATTTAATACTTAAATTTTTTATAAATTACTATTAAATTAAGGTAATGATCTTGAATTTAAGTTTATGTTTTGAAAACATATTAAAGAAATTTTAATTTTTTATTAACTTTTAAACATTTAATTTTTTTTACTAAATTATTATTTATAATATAAATTTAAATCCAAAAATTAATAAAATATAAACTAAAATTATTGGTAAAATAATTTTCCAACATAAATATATTAATTCATCATATCGTATTCGAAGAAGTATTCCATGTATAAAAATTACTATTCTACATAAAATATTAATTAAAATAAAAGTTAAAATTATTGAATATTTTAATAAATTTCTAAATATATAAATTCTAATTAATCTAAAAAAAATAATTATTCGATATTCAGATAAAAAAATTAATGTAAACCCACCCCTAAAATATTCAATATTAAACCCTGAAACTAATTCTGACTCACCTTCGATAAAATCTATAGGACTTCGATTTAATTCAGCTAAAATCCTAATAAAAAATATAATAAACAAAGGATATAAAACTACTATATATCATAAATAAAATTGATAATTAATAAAATCAAAAAAAGAATATCTCTCTCTTATTAATATAATAACTAAAACAATTAAAATAAATCTTACTTTAAATGATAATATTTGTGAAACTGATCGTATTGCCCCTATTTTTGAATAAATCGAATTAGCTGATCATCCCATAAAAATTATAACATACCCTCTAATAGTTATAAAACAATTATTAATAAAATAGAATAATTTAAAAAATAAATATTAGTAATGTAAGGAAATACTAATCATATTATTATTAAAACAAATCTAATTATAGGACATAAAAAAATTATAATTAGATTTATATACATAAAATAATTCTTTATTAAGTAATTTAATAGCATCACTAAAAGATTGAAATAATCTTATAAATCCCACCTTATTAGGTTCTTTACGAATTTGTACATATCTTAAAATTTTTCGTTCCAATAAAGTTAAAAAAGCTACCCCAACTAATATAATTAATAACAAAATTAACAATCTTAATATATTTAACGCACTATAAAAATATAATCTTAAATTTTGACAAATTATTACTTGTATAATTTTTTTCTATTATACATCATTTAAATTCTAAATTTAATACACTTAAATTCTGCTAAAGTAATTTTATTTATTTACATATATTTAATCAATTAAATTTATTCATTAAAAAAAATATAATTTGAAAAAAAGTCCTTTCGTACAAAATTTTCTTAATTTTATTTAATTAATTAATTTATTTTAAATTTTCATTTACATTACTTATATCTATAATATTTATTTAATTTTTTTTTAATACTTCAACAATTCAAAAACTAACTCTATTTAATTTTTTATTATAATTTTATTTAATTAAAATAATCACACACACAAATCATATTAAATTTTTCATAAATATTTAAATTTAATTTTTTTTTAATTTTAA